CTAAGCTTGTTCTAAGTAGGTGCTCTAGACCACTGAGCCATCTCACCAGCCCCTAGATCAGATTCATAGTGATCTGCCTGTTTATACCTTCCAAGAGCTGGGATTACAGGCGCATTCCACCATGCCCAGTCTCAATTGCCACCTCAGCATGCCTCAGGGATTAAACCCTGGTATCTGTACCTGCTTGCGGGTGCTTTAATCCACTGTTTTTTGGTTTTTTTTTTTTTTTTTAAAGGCAGTTGGAGGGGCTGGGGTGATGGCTCAGTAGAATGAACGCTTCCCTGGCAAGCATAAGGGCCTGAGTTCAATCCCCAATTCCGCCCCCAAAAATTAAATAAAGACAGTTGGACATGTTGAACCCCTAATCTGGTATTCCAGTTGTAAAAGGTACACTTTTGGATGGCATTGAATGCTGGATTTCATTCCTAAACATCTCTTTCTCTTCCCATGCCTAGTGTAACGTGTACAACTCTGGCCAGCGGCGGAAGCTATTGTTGTTCAAGACTTTCTCGAGGAAGGTGGTGGTGATCGTCCCTAATGAGGAAGATTGGAAGAAGAGGCTGGAGCTGAGGAAGGAAGTGGAGGGAGACGATGTGCCTGAATCCATAATGCTGGAGATGAAAGGTGGGCGAAAGTCAGGCCCCAACCCCTGCTCCTCTTGCGTGTGTACTCAGCAGGCCTCAGCCAGGAGGTGCTCTGACCTGCCCTGGAGAGCAGCGTAGTGCGTGTGGGCACTGGATGAAGGAGTAGGCAGAGCAAATGGCCAAGGAGTGATTCCTCCCTTGTTTTGTTGCTCCACCTCCCCATTTGTGTATTTGGTACAGGATCTCACTATGCAGCTCAGACTTTTAGTGATCCTCCTGTTTTCAGCCTCCCTAGGGCTGGGATTACAGTTTTGTGCTACTATGCCTGGACTCCGGTTGCCATCAGCACACTCTGGGGGCAGGGCCAGCGTGGCATGTGGGACCCAGGATCAAACCTGGTTGCTGCACTTGCCAAAGCAGGTGCTTAGTCTGCTGAGCTGTCTCACCAGCCCTATGTTCTTTGTTTTTTTTTGAGATGGATGTCACCATGTAGTTTAGGCTGGCCTTGAACTCAAAATGTAGTCCATGCTGGCTCAAACTTGTAGCGATCCTCCTGTTTTAGCCTCCTGAGTACTGGGATGACAGGCAGATGCCGCCATGTCTATATGATGCTCTGACTCTTTTACTCACCCTGGAGGAGACACAAAAAGGGAAACAGTGATGTATAACAGGATAATTAGTCAGTGAATGCTGGGATGTAGCTCAGTGGTAGAGTGCTTGCCTAATATGTATGCGGCCTTGAGTTCAGTCCCCGTCAATGAAGAAAATAGAGATAAAACCCAAGAAAGAACCTTCCTTTAGTAAGTCACTCCCTACAGTGTGTTTGCTGTTTGCCCAGCACTGTCCTGCACCAGGAAATGCATTTTCATTTTGCAAAGGACTTGGAAGTGGAATGGTTCAACTCAAAGTAGTTGGAGTGAGGATCTCATTGGTGGATCTTGATTTATGGGATCATCCTAGGCTTGTTTTTAGTTCTTTCTTTTTTCTTTTTTTCTTTTTTAAATTAATTAATTAATTTATTTTATTTGTGTGTGTGTGTGTGTGTGTGTGTGTGTGTGTGTGTGTGGCCAGCTCAGCCCGCCTGGGGGCGGGGCTGGCTGGCATGTGGTGCTGGGGGATTGAACCGCGGTCCCGTGCTTTGCTAGGCTTGTTCTAAGTAGATGCTTTAGACCACTGAGCCATCTCACCAGCCCTCTTTCTGTTTTTCTTTCATTCTTTTTTTTTAAATTAGATTAAATCACTTATGCTTTATAGAGCCCCAGAGCAAGGTCCCCACAAAGCAACATTAGCTGTTATCATTGCTTTTACTTCCTGCTGTACCCTTATCTGATTTCTTAACCGATTTTCCCTAATTTTCCCCTTAGCTGGTGGTCTCCCACCTGCCCTGGCAACTGCTTGGTTTTTTCTTGCCTGTGGAAACCTTTGAGTGACAGCCTCCAGCCTTATGCAAAAGAAAACTATTTGAGTCTATGGCTGATACTCAGATGCTTAGAGGAATTAATGTCATTGTTATAAGAAACAGGACTGGGGCTGGGGAGATGGCTCAGTAGAATACATGTTTCCCTGGCAAGCTCAAGGGCCTGAGTTCAATCCCCGGTTCCACAAAAAAAGAAAGAAAGAAACAGGACTAACTGCACTCACTGAATAGTCGTGGGAACCCCACTGCAGTGCAGTCTCTTGGGCAGCCTGTGGCCTCTGGGTATAGGGTGTGCTGGCCTAGCCAGCTCAGGGCTACAGAGAGCTTCTCATTTTGTGGACAGCAGGTGCTGCACAGCTCGACCTCTTTTTTTTTTTTTTTTTTTTTTGGTGGAACTAGGGGTTGAACTCAGGCCTTTGCACTGGCAAGCGCTTATTCTACTGAGCTATCTGCCCAGCCCACCTCTTTCTAAAATGTCACTTCTTAGCATCTTGTCTAACCAACACCAAAACTTTCTCAGCTACTTTTGACCTCTGTTACATGTTTCTGTGCTAATAAGAAACCTTACTCCAGTTCCCTGCTAATTTATTATGGATCATTTGAGATCTTGTGAGTCAATAGTTGGCAGGTCGTGCTTTGCTTGGGGCTGTTACAGTTTAGGGAAAATTTAGAGTAGAAAAAAATAGTTTTGTTATGTAGACTTGAGTGGTTATGAAGCAGCACACTTTTTGTGCATTACTCAATGAGGCTTAGAAATTGTTAGGTTTCCTGTAGCAGAATATGCATAATGAGTTCTTATCTATGCACTTTTCAGGCCCACAAGCTTCTTTCTTATTCTTATAGCCAACTTCTCTCTGCCTGAGAAATGTGACTACATGGATGAGGTGACATATGGGGAGTTGGAGAAGGAAGAAGCTCACCCCATTGTCACCAGGTACAAGGAGGAGGCCAGGAAGCTGCTGCCCCCATCAGAGAAGCGCACTAACCGCCGGAACAACCGGAACAAGCGCAACCGCCAGAACCGAAGCCGGGGCCAAGGCTATGGTAAGTCCAGGCTCCGGGCAGGCCCGCTTTAGTCAGAATTTCGGGCCAGGTGTGGTGGGAGCTCTGCAAACTAGGCCGGGAGGCAGAGTGACTCCATTCAGGAGGTGCTTTCGTGGAGCGGGTTTTCTCCTGTGTCCTCCCCACTGTCTTGTGGCTTTGCTATAAGGGTAATTTTTTTCCTACAAAATACTTGTTTCTTGAAAATTGTGCTGCACCTTCCTATGTCTAGCTGTCATGCTAACACACATTGTCCCACACTTCACTGCCAGTGTAGCGGAAGGGTTTGTGTGGAGACATTCTGCTCTCAGTCCGTTTTGTTTTTGTTTTTGTTTTTGTTTTTTTTGTGGAACTGGGGATTGAACTCAGACCCTTGCGCCTGCTAGGGAAGCACTTATTCCACTGAGCCATCTCCCTGGCCCCTCTCAGTCCGTTTTCTTGCTGCTTTGCCTCTTGGATCTATCCAGCTATGTAGGCCAAAAAAATGAACACATTTAGTAAATTAAATTGGGGGCTGATTAATAGCAAGCACTAGACTGTTAGTGGAATTGTTTTCCCCCGAGTCTGTTTTGTCAGCTAGCCCTCAGGACAAGAATTGTGCTTCTTGGGGGAGGGTTTGAGCGTGTGTGTGGCTGCAGGTCACCTGGGCGCTGAGGGCCTGCTGTGTGAGGGGCCTCCTCAAGACCACGTGGTACAGTTGGGTTCTCACAGAACATGGGAGAGTGTAGTGTGACAGCCTGGGTCTCCAAGGCTGACAGTCGGTGACGCTCTAGCAGTTTTTATTCATAGTTTTTCACTGCCATGTACCTGTTTCCATCCTTGAATGTCTTGGAAGAACTGGGCTTGTCCAAGCACAGTGGCTTGGTTTTCTTGTGTCTCTCACTGCGCTCCCCCTCAGATGTTTCCGAGACCCTGGTGCTGGGCTTTAATGAGCATGGCACATGCCTGGCCCAGCAGGCTCCTGTCCCTGCAGTCTTGCCTGCGGCTCCCACTTTTCCACTCCACTCCCCGTGGAGCCAGGACCGTGTGCAGCCGTCTGAGCGCTCTCCGTTTCTCTTCCAGTGGGCGGGCAGCGCCGAGGCTACGACAACCGGGCCTACGGGCAGCAGTACTGGGGGCAGTCTGGAAACAGAGGGGTGAGTGCAGCCCCTGCTCCTCCCTTTGGCCGCCGCCACCATTGCTGCGGCGTGGGGAGCAGAGGGGTTTGGGCTGTCTTCTCAGGGCTTAGGGCTTTGCCCGTTTAATGTGTTCATCTGACAAAATTCATCCTGTCTACACTGTCATACTAAGAGGTGTCTGTTTGAAGGGGCATACTGGGTCATGCTGAGAACCCTGTAAGTATTCTCTTTCTCCTTTTCCAGGGCTACCGTAACTTCTATGACCGCTACCGAGGAGACTATGACCGTTTCTATGGACGAGACTACGAGTACAACAGATACAGAGACTATTACAGACAGTACAATCGGGATGTGAGTGCAATGGGAAAAGGTTGAGGGCAGTGGGAGCACCGGGGCCTGGGGTGCTAACCTGCTCCCCTGATGGGTCCTTTTTCTTCCAGTGGCAGAATTACTACTACCACCACCCGCAGGACAGGGACCGGTACTACAGGAACTACTATGGTTACCAAGGGTATCGGTGAAGCCTGTGTGGTCGCCTGTCCACCATGAAGCTGGATCTCCTGGGGTGCCAGGCACCCTCCAAAACACAACCAAGGAAAACAGGGGCTGCTGGGATGGGGCTGAGCTGCCGGGAGGGGCGGTGGGGGGAGGGCGTGCAAGCGGGAGGGGGTGGGAGGGTGGAAACCAACGACAAAACTGTACATTTTTTTTAAAAGTTTGTTGAAAAGAATATTGTCTTATTCTATAAAACATTTCAAACCTAGTTAGATATTTGTAATCCAAAAACATTTGCGCAGAACTAGGGCTGCCTGTTCTGTACCTGCAGTGGCGAGGGTCACCTCTGACGCTGGCGGCGGGCGGCGACGCAGCAGGCGCGGTGGGAGGAGGAAGGTGCTCTGCGGCAGGTAGGAGCAGGCAGGGCGGGCCAGGGCGCTTGTGACCACCGGGCAGCGAAATAAACGATCAGCTCTGGGCGATCACTTCACCAACTAACCGTTTGCATTTTCTTTACGACCTTTCCCTCTTGGGACCTCTGGTCTGCTGGGCTGGGAGGCCGGACCTTCGCTGCCCCTTGGCTGGGCTTTGTTCCTGGTGGCAGGGTATAGGCTACTGGTTGGGTTCTTGCTAGCCAGGATCCCAGGCCAAAGATACAGCCACTCTACTGTCTGAACCCTGTGAATCTTGGGAGAGAGGCTGTGGTCAGTGGCTGGAGTTCGGGGGTGATTCTCAGGGTTCCTACTCGCGGCCCCATGGGCATCGGCGTGTATAAGGGCCGGTGCTGAGCAGCCACTGTTTTCTACAGTGCAGGGCGCTGCCCTGAGGGTTGTGTATGGGAGTGTGGATAGGGTGGGTGGTGGGGGTGTGCGGCTCGAGCATAGCAAGTGTGAGGAGCAGGAGCTGTCCAGCCCTGCAGCAGGGCCCCTTAGGGCTTCAGCGGAGACCTGCAGAAGGCTCCTGGTTTCCACCATCAGCGCCAGTTCTGCACTCTCAGGTGGCCAGGGTTCAAGAATCCAGGTGGGAAATGTGGGTGCTTTTTTGTATTCAGCTTAAGTTTTTATTCCCTTCCTCCTCAGCAGCATGCCCAGCACTTCCTCAGAGAGCATGCTGGCTCTGCTGCTGGAAAAGGCGTCCCACCTGCTTGGTGGTGTCTCCACTCAGCCTCTGCTGGGTGTGCAGGAGGTCCAGCCATGGCCACAGTCAGGACGCACTGGTGGTTTGTGCTCCTGGTCATGCCTCTGCTGTGGTCGTGGTGAAGGGGCAGAACAGACACTCCTGTAACCCACTAGGCCTCCCTCAGGGACAGGAAGCTTTGGGCCCAGAGGGCAGCATGCACAGCCCAGGGTTACCCTGAGACAGGCATGAGTCTCTGAGGCAGAGGAAGCAGCCTTTCCTTGTCCCTGACACGGGCATGCCAGGGCCCCATGCCCTTGGGTAGGGAGTACTGTTGAAGCCACCCCAGCTCTGCTGGATGTGGGGGAGTGTTTCTTGGTTTTTGATGCTAGAAAGTTTTTTTACACAGCTATTCTTGGGGCTAGGCAGAGAAACAGCCACCTCCTGGTGGGTTCAGTGGGGTGGTCACTGCAGCAGCAGGAGCATCTGGGCTCCCTCCTGTCTTTTCCCAAAGTGTTGACAAGGCTGTAAAACGTGGCAGCAGGAGGGACCCAGCCCTGTTTTACTTAGATTTGTTTAGTGTTTTATCCAACATCTGTTGTAGATGGAAAAGGTTTTGTGAGAAAAACACCGGGGCCTGTAAATGTTTTTGCACAACCTGTAAAGCATTCTTGGAAGTGGCCAGTAAAAAGATTTATGTTTAAAAAAAGTGTAACCGTGTCATTGTTTACATCTATAACTTTTTTATCCCCGTTCTCATTATAGCCTTCTGATAATGTAGGCAAAGTGGCTTTGACTTTTAGAATTAAATAGCCACTTGGACTGAGCCCACCTCCTCCTGTGACTACGCTGAGTAGCTTGTCAGTTGCGGTTTCGCCATGTGTCCCAGGAGGTGTCATTCGCCTCCCTGGGTGCTATGTCCTTTTCCACCAGACTTTTGCTGAGGAGCAGCTGTGTGTCCACTGGAGATGGGGGCTCTGTGGAGGCTACACTGGCTTCAGCCACAGCATTCCTTTTTTTTCCTTTGAAGGCTGTTTATGTAGCTCAGGCTGGTCTTGAACTCCAGATTTTCCAGCTTCAGCCTCCGAGTTGCTGGGATTTACAGGCATCCACCACACCTGGCTAGTGGTCCACTTCTGTTTTTTTTGGCGGAACTGGGGATTGAACTCAGGCCCTTGCGCTTGCCAGGCAAATGCTTATTCTACTGAGCCATCTCCTCAGCCTCTAGTGGTCCACTTTTTTTTAAAGGTTTTTTGTTTATTTGTGTGTGTGGCCAGCTCAGCCCACCAGGGGGCGGGGCTGGCTGGCATGTGGTGCTGGGGGATTGCACCGTGCTCCCTGTGCTTTGCCAAGCTTGTTCCAATTAGGTGCCCTAGACCACTGAGCCATCTCACCAGCCCATGGTCCACTTTTGAAGGTGAATTAATTTATCGGAAAGTAATTATAACCCAGGAAAAAAGGCCTACTAGTTCAACAATATATTTGATGGGATTTGCTTTCTAGTGGATTTGAAGGGGCTGGGGAGATGGCTTAGTGGAATAAGCACTTCCCTGGCAAGCGCAAGGGCCTGAGTTCAATCCCCGGTTCCACCAAAAAAAAATCTAGTGGATTTGAAGAATGAGAAGGTAGCTTAGGTAGAGTAGTAGTAGCTGGGTGTGGTATTGCATACCTATAATGCCAGTAGCATTGTGGGACACTTGAGGCAGGAGAGCTGAAAGTTTGAGGCCAGCCTAGGCAACTCTTGAGACCATCTCAAAAGATAAGGAGCTCCATATAAAGGAGCTATCCCCATTACCACCTTTCCCCCAAAGCGCTATGTATTATATTGCTAAATGGATTGTAAGTGTTCAATTTTAGTTTGTTTTTTTTTTAAGTGTTCTATTTTTTTTAACATTTATTTAGAGTGTGTGTGTGTGTGTGTGTGTGTGTGGCCAGCTCAGCCCACCAGGGGGCGCGGCTGGCCGGCATGTGGTGCTGGAGGATTGAACTGCGGTCCCTGTGCTTTGCCAAGCTTGTTCCAAGTAGGTGCTTTAGACCACTGAGCCATCTCTCCAGCCCCTAAGTGTTCTATTTTAAACTGAGCAATTTCCCCCTTTCTCTCTGCACTGGGGATTCAACTCAGGGACAGGGAGCTAGACTTCCCAGTCTTTTTTTTCTTGGTGCTGGGGCTTTCACATCTGCAGCTATTTTTATTTAGAGACAGGATCAAGCTTTCAGTCCTGCTGTCTTAGTCTCCCGGGTCCCAGGTAGAACCCAAGCTTTTTTTTTTTTTTTTTTTTGCGGAACCAGGGATTGAACTCAGGCACTTGCGCTTGCCAGGCAAGTGCTTATTCTACTGAGCTATCTCCCTGGCCCCCGTCCTTGATTTTGGTGGCTGCCTATTCACTGGGACATTTAAGTCAGTGTTGGAGCTACTGAATTCTAACCCATTGAATGCGCAACTTTCCAAAGGCTAGACTGGTGTTCTGCTAGGATATACGGCTCTCTTCTTTCACGGTCATGAATACCTCATGCTTTGTGGCTAGGAACTGTTAAAACTTTCCTCCCATTAGGGTTCTAGGCATTAATGTGGAACTTCATCAGTATGAAAATAGTGCAGAAAAGTCATTTTTTAAAATTCAGTTTGTGGAGATGGTCTCACTGTTACAAGTTTGAGGCATCCTGCTGCCTCAGTCTTCCTAGTGCTGGAGTAACAGCCACGCACTACCGTATCTGGCAGTTCTTGCTTTAGCCCATAACCTAGGTGACGTTTTCTGCAGCCGCACATGCGACCCTGTGCTTGCCAGGCAGGCTGTGTCCCTGTTCCCTCCCGGGCCCACTCAGGACTGCAAGGAGGAGCGGATGTGTGAACGCCCACCTCCCCTAAACGTGCCCGCGCCGGCGCGGCAGGCGGGAAAGGGAAGGTCGCGTGCGTGCCGCGCAGGGGGCGGGCGGCCCTGGCGGAGGGCTCGCAGGAACCTCCAGGCCCCGACGTCCCCGCGCCGGCCTCCCGCCGGCCGGGCCCGACCTCGCAAAGGGCTGTCCCCGCCGAGGTGCGGGAAGCCGGGTGACGGTTCCTCCCACACTCGGATCTCCCCTTCCTCATCGAGGTACAACACAGCCGGCCTGTCTCTGTCGGGAGAGCTCCCGTGTCACTGCCCCGCCGCGTCTTTCTCCATGCGAGGTGAAAAGCCGGGTTCTGCCAGCGTCCGCGACGCCTTCCAATTCCGGCACGGCGGGGCGGCCATTTTGGATCCAGACCAGCGCAGACAGACCTACGGGGCCGCGGGCCGCCATCTTGAGAGTCGCACCGTACGACGCACCGGCGCGCGCTGCCTCCGCCCCTAACTCGGCCAGCGGTCGGCGCGTGCGCTCCCAATTTACTACCCCTGGCCGCAGCGTAACTCCGAGGCTTCGAACCCGAGGTGGCACCCTCCCGCGCGCTCCGCAGGTGCGCGACCCCCGCCCCGCCCCAAGGACGCGCACGCAGGCTCTGGACGACGTTTATTGCCCACGTAGCGGCTGCAAGGGGGAGCCAGGCGGCTCCGCGCACGCCCACTGTGGGCGGGGCCCTCGGGTGGTGGGCGGGGTCCTCAGGGTGGTGGGCGGGGCCCTCGGGGGCACGGGAGGGGCATGTTCCCAGACCCCGGCCGGCGCCGGAGGCCCGCGAGGGCGGAGGGGCGGGGTCACAGCAGTGCACAGAAGAACTTCTTCTCGCGGAAAGGGTTCTCAGAGGTGGGCACCGGCGTGATGAGCGGGTCCTCACAAGCGTGGGCGTCACAGTACGTCATCAGGTCCGCCGCAGCCTTGGACACCTGGGCGCCCGGGAGGGTTTGGAGGGACCAGAAAGGGCGGCCGCCTCCCTCTGCAAGGAGACACCCCGCCCGCCCTGAGGACGACATCGTCCCAGACCTGGCCTCCCCCCGCCGTCAGGTGTCTGCGGCGTCTGGGACCGGAGCCTCCGACCGCAGCGCCGGTCTCCCCGCGCGCGGCCGCACCCACCTTGATCCGGCACAGGCTGGCTTCGATCTTCAGTTGCTCCACCATCTTGCGTGCTTGCCCGATGCTCATAGTACTGTTCACGGGGGTCTCGCCCTTCATCCTACGGGGAGGGCCGCGTCCCAGAATTGTTCCCAGTCCTCTCGCCTCCTGGGCTCCGCCCTATCCGCCCCCGCCTCAGGAGAGGAGGACGGCGGGATGGGGTGCTCCCCGGGACCTCTGCAGGCGAGCAGAAGCAGCATCTAGGTGATTTCGGGGCTCAGTCCCAGAGCCCGCGGTGTCCGGGAGCCCCGCCCTGCGGGAAGCCGCCCTGCCCTCGCTCACCTGCAGCGACGGGCGCCGAGCACGACGGCAGCTGCACCTGGGGTGCTGGGTCCGGGAGCCCCTAGCCCAGCCTCAGTGGTGCCACCCTGCAGGGAGTCGCCTCGGAAGGTCGGCCACGGTTCACAGAAGCCTCAGGGCTTAGGCAGAGGTCGCTGGGGCGGCCTGGTTCCCGCAGCACCGGCCCTACGCCGATGGCCGGTACCCGAGAATTCAGGATGCTGAGAATGCGGGAGGAGGCTGAAGAGCCTGGTCGGGAGCGTACCACCTGCCCGAGTAGGGGGGCACCCTGGCCCGCAGCACCCCCGACGCGGTGGTCGGGCCCGGCGCCCCTGCGCAGCGCTCGGGTGGCGGGACCCTGCTCCAGGCTCTGACATCAGCCGCCCCCCCGTAGCACCGCCCTGACGCTTCGCTTAACACCGAACCTTGGTTTCTGTCCAGGGTCTGGGTCCCCCGTGCAGGAGGATGTGACGCGCGACAGGTGGTCAGTGTCTAGACCACCGCGCTTGGCCTCCACGGGACCCGCAGTGTCTTCCGGAAGATGTCCAAAGACACGGCAGACGCGAGGGAAGACTCCAGGGAGCCGCCCAAAGAGCCGGACCCTGCAGGGGAGGTAGGGGCTCGGCGGGGCGTGGGGGAGCCGGGGCAGAGAAGTAGGGGGAAGTCCCAGCCTCTCGCAGGGCTCGCGCCCGGGCTATAGCATCCTGCACGGTGAGTGCGAGGCTCCACACTGTAGGCGGAAAGTGGGGGACACGCACAAGCAGAGGACCCTTGCGTGGACTTGATGCGGGGATCTGGGGATCTTGGGCCATGCGAAAAACGGGGAGGTGCCGGGGAGATAGCTCAGTAGAATAAGCGCTTGCCTGGTCAGGGCCTGAGTTCAATCCCCGGTTCCGCACAAAAAAAAGGGGGAGAGGGAGGTCGACTGCGCAGGTTAACACCTGGAGACACTACAGGGCTGAGAGGCAACCGCGCGCGCGAAGGGCGCTCCGCAGGCCCCTGCGCAGTGCGCAGTGCGCAGGACTAACACCAGCCCCGGAGGCCTGGGCGGCAGAAGCCAGAGCCCCCGCTGCGCGGGTAAAACGGACGGCGGGATGTGGTGAGCCCGAGCACCGCGGAGCGCAGTCTGAGGCCCAACTATTGAGCGCCACCCGCGGAGAAGAGGCGTGGGAGGGTGCGGGACCGCGCTAGGCCCGCCGCCGGACGAGCAGGCCCCGCCCCCACAGGCCCTGCCCGCGCTGCGGCTGGCCCCGCCCCCAGAGGCCCCGCCCCGGGCTAGGACCCGCCTCTGCGCCTGGCGCGGGCTGCGGCCCGGACGAGGCCCCGCCCCTGCGGCTGGTCTCGCCGCGCGGCCGGTCGGGAGCACGGCCGGAAGCCTATGGGGGTGGGTGCGAATGTGCGCACTGGCGGCGGCGGCGGTTTCCGTGGTGACGGTCGCCGCTGCGGAGCGGTACGGGTGACTTCGAAAGGCCAGGGAGGCCACTGTTGGCGGCCGCGTGGGAGCCGGAAGGTGCTGGTGCTCTTCTGTGGTCGCTGTGTAGAGCTGTGGCCGCGGTGCCCAGGGAGAGCTGGCCGGCGTCCGGGACTGGAGCCGGCCTGCGGGGAAGAAGGCGAGCCGCGGCAGCCCGGGAACGAAGCGCTTTCCTCCTCTCCTAGGAACCGCCGGCCGCGCCGCCCCATGGCCAGGGCCCGGGCGGCGGCGCAACACGGACCCCGCGGCCGGACCCCGCGCCCCGCGCCATGGCCCCCGACCCGCCGGCCGCTCCCGCGCAGTGGGCGCAGGAGATGGGGCAGACGCTGGCGGGCGGCGCGCGCAGGCTGCTGCTGCAGCTCGGGGTGCTCCTCTGCAGCGTGCTGCTGCTGCTCTGGGTGTCCGTGTTCCTCTACGGCTCCTTCTACTACTCGTACATGCCGACCGTCAGCCACCTTAGCCCGGTGCACTTCTATTACAGGTGAGGGGATTCCCGCTCGGTCCTGCTGGCCTGGCCTCTGCTGCTGGCCTAGCCTGAGCTATCTCCCCACTTCACACAACTGAGCCAGATTGTCCCTCTTGCAAACCTCGCTGTAGATCATTCAACGGATGTTGATAATGACACGTTTTGTTTTGGTGTTGCGGTACAGGAGATGGAACTCGATAATAACACTAATATAAGGGGTCAAGGGCCAGTGAGATAGCTCAGTGGACCCCTGCTCTGGGAAGCGCAGGGATCAAGGTTCCATCCCCACAGGATCCACTGGCCCGCCCCAGGGCAGGCTGGAGTGCACTGACAGAGTCCAAGCTGCGTAGTGAGACCCTCTATTAAATACATTAAAAGTGGATCACAAGTTTTTTTCCTGACCTAAATTTTTAATACTGTACTTTAGTTTCCAAGATGAAAGTGTACAAAAAGGGCGTATGGAGATAGTGAAACCTGTGACCGTCCCATAAGAACACATGTGTATGCCTGGGTGTGTGCTGCATACCATGTTTTGCCTAGTTTTGGTCTTTCCTGAGTCTCTTAGAGCATATCTGTAACTCTTTGGAGTTGTCTCAAAAAATCCCCAGGGGGCCGGGGAGATGGCTCAGTGGAATAAGCGCTTCCCTGGTAAGCACAAGGGCCTGAGTTCAGTCCCCAGTTCCGCAAAAAAAAAAAAAAAAAAATCCCCAGACTTATATTATTGAATCAGAATCTCTGAAGGTAGGACCCTAGAATCTATATTTTAGAACTTTATCTGTTTATCCAATTGAAACCTTTCTTCTTTTGTTTGACAAGCTCTCAGTCTAGCCTGCCCTGGACCCCAGTCCACTTGCCTCAGCCTTCCAAGTATCAGGCTGACAGGCCCTGCCACCACACCTGGGTGGGTTTTGTTTATTGTTGTATGGAGTTGAACTCAAGGCTTTTGTAAAGGGTTCCATCCACAGTCAACCTCCAGAGTACTTAGTGCTTATAATACTTTTTCATAAAAAGAGGTAATAGAGCCTCCTGTTATCCCAAGTGCTCAGCTGGACAGGTGGTTCAAGTTGGAGCCCAGCCTGGGCAACTTACAGATGCTATCTCAGACTAATCAAGGGCTGGGACTGTACCTCACTCATTGTGCCCTGGGTTCAATCCCAGTACAGAAAAAGAAAGCATCTTTGCCAGGTATTGTGGCGTACACCTGTATCTCAAGAGACTGGAACAAGAGAATCGAAAGTTTAAGCTGAGTCCAATAGATCAATTTAGCCAGAACTTGACTGGAAGGGAAAAGTAGGCCTGGCATGCAATTCAGCACATGGCCTTAGGGGGAGGCCAGGAACACAGGGCCACAGTAGAGGCTGTCCTAGCCCTGCTGTCGCTTCCCCCACAGGACTGACTGTGACCCCTCCGTCACCTCCCTATGCTCCTTTCCTGTGGCCAATGTTTCCCTGGCCAAGAGTGGACGCGATCGGGTAAGTACCCGCTAGACAGGGATTTCATCTGTGCTTCCAGGACTGGTAACAGGCTGCAGGGAAATGCAAAGAGCAGGGATTGAGGACTGGAGATGAGGGGGAACGTGGGGCCTTGATCACAGCAGGTGCTGTACTCAGCCCTTCCAGGCTGGGAATGAGCTTGGAGGCCAAGGCTGTCTCTTGTTGGTTAGAGGTGCAGTGTGCTCAATACAAGCCCCTGCATGGGCAGGCAGGCAGGCAGGCTGGGACCAGTGCCGCAGCTTCTGGATGTAGGAGCTGGGGCAGGGGCAGGGTGGGGCTCAGTGGTGCGGCACGTACCAGGCTCTGGGTGTCCTCAGCCTGAGAGCTGGAGTGGCAGACAGAGACATGTAGAAGCAGGTAAGAGAGGAGGGCCCAGGACACGGTACTGAGGATGCAGAGTGAAACTCTAACCTTTCGGGGCTGTCCAGTGAAGAAGCCCTGTGAATGCCCCCAGAACGGAGCTGCAGGTGGGGTGCATGCCTGTAGTCTTGATTGCTTGAAAGGCTGAGGCACGATGGCTGTGTGAGCCCTGAAGTTTAAGGCCAGCCTGGCAAGATCCCATTTTTAAAAGTGGAAGGCTGGAATGCAGGGAGATGACAGATACAAGTTCATCTGAGAACCAGCACTGTGGGCGCCTGGGTCACCAGTACAAGGGTGGCCAGGCCTGAGGAGGGCCTCCCTACTGTGCAGGCCTAAGTCACGGGTGGGTCTGTTGCCCAGCCACAGTCCTAGGATAGGAATGGGCTAGAATCCAGGTTCCAAGTAGCCTGCTGGAGGTGGAGGAATTTGGGGCTGTGGTCCCACAAGGGGCAGCAGAAACTTGGGGATAGGAGCCTAATTCCGAAGTGGCTCTGGGGCAGGTGCTGATGTATGGACAGCCCTATCGCGTCACCCTGGAGCTGGAGCTGCCCGAGTCCCCTGTGAACCAGGATCTGGGTATGTTCTTGGTAACAGTTTCCTGCTATACCAGAGGTGGCCGCGTCATCTCCACCTCCTCTCGTTCCGTAAGTGTTGCTGAACAGCGAGGGGAATGGGGTATCTGGTGGGGCTCCTTGCTTCACATCAGAAGGGAGAGGAGTGCACTCACCGAGCCCTTCAGGCTGCCAGATTCCTGGGGTGAGGGCTAGGTGCTCACATACACAAGCTCAAGGGTCAGAGAAAGAAAAGGTCAGAGGGACCTGGCTCCTGGGCCTCTGAGCACTGGCACCCTGTGGGTGTCACAGCTGCCTCCAGACACCTGGGGGCTGGGAATGAGATGGCATAGGAGGGTCCACTCAGGATGTGTGTGAGGGGAAGTGCTCCCATTGCCCTGCCACTAGGACTCCACCTGGGGTGCAAAACGGGGGACGGGCAGGCTAAAGGCAGCACTGTGCTGAATCTCCAAGAGTCTTAGACTGGGGGCTCCTTGCCTGTGAGAATGGAGAAAGAGAGCGCTGCCTGGGCAGCTTAGCCTGGTGCTCTCAAAATGAAAAATAAGGACTGGGGTTGAAGGTTAATGCAGAGACCTTGGGTTTGGGTCCTAGTGCTCCAAAAGTAAGCAGTGTGGGGCTGGTGAGATGGCTCAGTGGTCTAAAGCACCTACTTAGAACAAGCTTAGCAAAGCCCAAGGACCACGGTTCAATCCCCCTGCACCACATGCCAGCCAGCCCCGCCCCCTGTGGACTGAGCTGGCCACACACACACACACACACACACACACATAAATAAATAAATAAAAAAGTAAGCAATGTGAGAAGAATAGCGAGAGGTGGCTGGGCAGGGAGTGGGGCTGAGGAGCCCCAGCCTGGAGGACAGTGCACCCAGGCCCCTCCCAGCCCAGGCCACCCCCCCTCCCAGCCCCTGCCTGCTTGCAGGTGATGCTGCACTACCGCTCGGACCTGCTGCAGACACTGGACACAATAGTCTTCTCCAGCCTCCTGCTCTTCGGCTTTGCGGAACAGAAGCAGCTCCTGGAGGTGGAGCTGTACACGGACTACAGGGAGAACTCGGTGAGGGTGCTGAGCCCTGCACTCCAGGTCGGTTGGGCCGGGAAGGGGCCCTCCCAGGCCGGGGGACCCTCACCACATGCCGTTCCTCCACAGTATGTGCCCACGACTGGCGCCATCATTGAGGTCCACAGCAGGCGCATCCAGCTGTATGGGGCCTACCTGCGCATCCATGCCCACTTCACAGGGCTCAGGTAGGGGTTGAGATCCCAACTCCAGCCCTAGGGGGCTGTTGGTACTTTTTGTGACAGAATCTTGCTGTGTCCCAGACTGGACTCAAACTGCTGGACTCAAGAGGTCCTCCCGCTTCAGCCTCCTGAGTAGCTGGGTCTGTATGTATATCACCATACCTCCCTTAAACTTTTTTTTTTTTTTTTTTTTGTGGAACTGGGGATTGAACTCAGGCCCTTGAGCTTGCCAGGCAAGCACTTATTCTACTGAGCTAACTCCCCAGCCCTACCTCCCTTAAACTCTTAAAATTACCCTGTGGAGCTGGGTGTAGTGGTGCACAAACCCCTGTAATGAGGAGGCTGAAGCAAGAGCTTCACCAATTCAAGGCTGGCCTGGCCTACATAGTCTGAGACTAGCCTGAACTGCATAGTGAGAACCTTTCTCTAAAAAGGAAACACACACACACACACACACCCTTGTGGCCTGGCATGACGGCACAGAGGCTAACATCTGTAATCTCAGCAGTCTGGGAGGCCAAGGCAGGAGGATCCTAGCCTGAGTGACTTAGGTTTACAAAATAAAAGAGCTTGGGAATGTAGCTCGGTAGGAAGGCCCTGGGTTTAATCCTAGTGCCTCAAAAAGTAAAAAATTTAAAAAGCATCATGTGGCTGGGTAAGGTGGCACCTTTGTACAGTGTTGGGTGGGCCAAAGTCTGGGCAACAAGCAGGGCTCTTTAGCACAGCAGACTGCTGTCTCAGTCTGCTGAGTCTTCCGAACCCTGGGCTTTGGGCAGAAGCCGGAGCCCTGGCGCCTGGCGCCTGGGGCTGGCTGTAGCCGCACATCCTGGGTTGCCCTGGGCATTACCTGAAAAGGCTGGTTCTAGCTAGGTATGTCAGCCCGTGCCTGTCATCAACACATTCTCGGAGGCTGAGGGAAGAGGGTCAGAACTTCTAGTCCAGTGTGTGCAATTTAGTGACTTAGTGGGACGCTGTCTCAAAATAAAAATGAGAGCTGGGCATAGAGCACAGTGTGAAGAACTGGGTTCAGTCCCAGCTCTGGAAAAGCAGACACCTAAGGGCTGGTGTTGCCTGCTGTGTGCACACAGCCCCTACTGCTGTCCTAGGTACCTGCTGTACAACTTCCCCATGACCTGTGCCTTCGTGGGTGTTGCCAGCAACTTCACGTTCCTCAGTGTAGTCCTGGTCTTCGGCTACATGCAGTGGGCATGGGGCAGCATCTGGCCCCGGCCCCGCCTCTCTGTGCAGGTGCAAGCTGGGGCCCTTCGCCACTGGGAGCGGAGGTGGTCAGTGGGGGTGGTCCCCTGGGAGGGCCAGCGGCTGGCCTCGTCCCTGCTGCTCAGCCCCATCCCCACAGGTGAACGTCCGGAGGAAGGACTGTGCCCAGCAGGAGCCAAGAAGGACTGCTCAGCAGCCAGGTTGGGAGCTGGGGGCGCTGGGGGAGGCGGGTGCCGGAGGGAGCTGAGGGACCCTGTCTCCTACTTCACCTGCTTTGGAGGTACAGGGTGCGAGGACCAGGAGGAGGATGGCCAACTGTCAGATGTGGCGGAGGGGATAGAGGATTGCAAGAGCCCAGAGGAGCCCTCAGGGACAGGTAGGGAGACCGGTGGGGTGGCTGGGGCCAAAGTCCCCTGCTGTCACTAATGCCTGTCTCATCTAGTGCCCCCTTGACTGCAGAGATGCCATTAGAAAAGGAGAAGCCAGATCTGCAGCCTGTAGGCAGGGATGCAGAACTAGAGCCTGAAGCCAGTGATGGTGAGGTGGGGGTAGGGGTGCAGAACCCAGGGGCCATGGGAACCCAGCAAAACTGAGGCTTACTGGGTGTCTTCTTTGCCAGGCTCAGGCTCGTGGGAAGACGCAGCTCTGCTCACCGAGGCCAACCTGCCTGCCTCCGCCTCTGCCCGTGTTCTGGCCCCAGAGACCCTAGGCCACCCTGAGTCCTCTGGGGGGGCCCTGCGCCACCGCTCCACCTGCTCTAGCTCCTGAAAGACCCTGTGCTGTGCACCAGCCCTTGTCCCTTGTCCCCCCCCCCCCCATTGCCCCAATAAACTATTTTGTGCCAGCTGCTCCTGGTTCTGCAGTGTTCTTGTTCCTGGAAGGAGGGGTGGGACCTGAAAAAAACCCTGCTGTCCTTGGGGAGATGAGTGTGACCCCAGCCTGGGAGGGGACCCTGCATGGCTGAGAGCAGGATGCACCACTCACCCTGCACCCCTCCCTCCCGTGCCAGGAGGCAGAAGGCAGGAAGTGACAGCAGGGATGGGGTGGCCTCCACTGGAGCAGCCATCATGACCACACCTAGCCCATGCCCTCTGAAGCTGTTCCCTGTGACCTGCAGGCAGGTACTTCCAAGCCTGAGCCCCTTGCCTCATCCTGCCTGGCCGCATGCCGGCTCCTCCATGCTTGGCTGCAGGCCACATGGCCTAACCCGGTGCCAGGCCCCAGGCATCCCGGCCATGGCCCACGAGAGCAGAGGCTTCCCCACCCGGCCAGCTGTGAGTCAGGCCTGGACGGCCCTCCTGACATTGCTGCACTCGTGGGGTGGAGAGCAGGAGGGGCCAGGTGGTGACATCAGAGTGGGGTACAAGAGCTGCAACAGAGCAGAGCTGTTGGGAGCCGACCTGATTCGCCGCAGCTGCTCCACCTGCAACCCAAGGTTCCCCAGCGTCAAGACACCTGCCGGTGAGGGGCTGATGTGGGTGTGGTGGGGGTCACAGGCTGTCATCCCCGCATTCGAAGAGGCTGAGGCAAGAGGACCCAAGTTCCGGCCCAGCCTAGGCTGCTCAGTGACAGGGAGAGCCTGCCTTCAGACAAGGGCTTCAGGAGCAGCGATGTGGAGGCCCGGGCTCTGTCCCAGTGGCCCCCTCACTCCTTGTGCTGCTGCTCTCCGGCTCCCAGTTGTGCATGTCTGGCCAGCGCTTGTCTCCCGGGTCAGTTAAGGTCATTCTCTGTTCTTCCTGGACTCAAAGTCTTCCCCTCCCCCCCACCACATGGCTGCGCAGTAACCACACATCTGCCTCACACATGTGGGAGCATTTTCACGCCTTTGGTGCAGGCCAAGTGCCCAACTCAGATTCAGGGCTGATTGACCAATGGCCCTGCCTGTCCCCATCTACCCTTCTCTCCCTTGCCTGCTGCCTGTGTGCTGTCCTCAGGCCTGTCCAGGCAGGGCTGACAGTCCCCACTGCCCCACAGGCTCCATGCTGGGCTCTCCCTTGCTCCTGTGGCTCTTGGCTGGGACTCTCTCCATGGCTGCTGAGACAGGACCACTGGACATCCAGGACCCTGAGGAGGACTCTGAGGCCACTCCTCTGCTGCCTGTGCCCTGTGACTATGACCGGTGCCGCCACCTGCAGGTGCCCTGTGAGGAGCTGCAGCAGGCTGGGCCAGTAGCCTGCCTGTGCCCTGGGCTGTCCAGCCTGGCCCAGCCGCCCACCCCGCCACGCCTGGGTGAGGTGCGTGTGATGGCCGAAGATGGCCACGCCACAGTGCACTGGTGCGCACCAGCCTCACCCGTGCACCACTACCAGCTGCTACTCTGGGAGGGCACTGGGGCGCCATACAGGGGGCCTCTGCTCAACACCACCATGCGCAGAGCTGAGCTAGGGGGGCTGCGGCCAGGGAGCACTTATGTGCTCTGTGTAGTGGCCATCAACGAGGCTGGGGAGAGCCCAGCTCCTGGGCTGGGGGCTGAAGACCCTGACACAGCAGCCTTCCCTACCTTTGGGCCCTGTGGCCGGTTCTCAGTGCCTCCCAGGCCTGGTACCTTGGTGCACACAGCCATTGGGGTGGGCACTGCTCTTGTCCTGCTGGGCTGTGCTGCCCTGGTGTGGCGTTTCCACCTGCACCGACGCTGGGGCTGCCCAAGATGCCATGAAGCCACTGCCTGACCCTGCAGGACATCTTCAGGATAGCCAGGAGCAGGTGGAAGCTGGGCTCTGCATTGAGGGCTGGTGTTCCCAGAGGACACTGGGGGGCCAGAGAGGCAGGGGGCTCCCAGTGTCACTGCACTTCCGCATGCATGAAGGGGGAATCCTGACCCCCAGAGATTGCAGCCACCAACAATGCCTCCCAGGGGCCGGGGAGACGGCTCAGGGGAATAAGCGCTTCCCTGGCAAGCACAAGAGCCTGAGTTCAATCCCCGGTTCCGCCAAAAAACAACAACAACAACAACAAAAAAAAAAAAAAAAAACCCAATGCCTCCCAATTCCTTAGCTGCAGCTGGCCAAACTGTCACACTCATCTGCCTCTGTCACTCTGGTGGCTCTGTTGAGAAAGGCTTGGGCAGTGCTGGGCCCCCTACTTCTGTGATTACCAGGCTGAGCAGACCTACATTGGAATTTACCTGGCCCTAGGAGGGGGGAGGAGAGGGAGGCCAGATGCTTTCTACTGCAAGTCTGTCTCCTTGCTGTTCACAACAAAGGAATTTATCCCTGTTATCCCTGTTAGAGGGCGTGAGGAGAACTGCCGCCACAGGGATGTGGACTAACTCCCCTGGTGGGTGCAGTCTGGAATGCAAGTTGGACTAGCAAGAATAAAAGTTAGCAACAGATATTATACAAAGCATCTCTTCCTTTGTCTTCGCTTTTTGTTCTTGACATAGTTTGTAATTCAGGCTGGCCCTGAACTCACTCTGTAGCTCACATTGATCTTCCTGCATCAGTCACCCAGAGTGCTGGGGTTACTGTTCCTGCTTTAATGGTTCTTTGAGGCTGACGCTGCATGCTAGGCTGGCCCTTCTGCCGCAGCTACTGCGTACAGCTGTGCCTGAGTGCTAGCATGCTGGCGCTAGATTGATCCCCAGCAGAATCAGGTAATTCAGGGGCCGAGGAGATGGCTCAGTGGATAAGCACTTACCTGGCAAGCACAAGGGCCTGAGTTCAGGCCCTGGTTTTAAAAAAAAAAAAATCAGGTAATTGCTCTTGGCAGTTTCTTTGTTTTTGCTTTATTTTGTTTTGGGGGATGGTGGGGTCTTGCTACATAGTTCATGCTGGCCTGTTGTCCAGGCTGGCCTCAAACTCTCAGTGATCCTCCTGCCTCAGCCTCCTGAGTGCTGGGATGACAGGTATGTGGCACCTCACCCAATTTTTGTTTTTGAGATGGTCTCACTATGTTGCCCAGGCTAGCAGCACGTTGGTAATCCTCCTCCTCAGCCTCCTGAGTGCTGAGGTTACAGGCACAGTCACCACACCCAGCATGGGGCAGAGTCCAGAGATGTGAATGTTTTCTTGTTGTACTCACTATTCTGCACGGGCCATGACTCACGGTGCTAAGCTCCAGCCTCCTCACTCATCCCGAGTCTGCACCGCTGTCTGCAGAGGACCTCTGGGAGGGCCTCCCCCTCGCTGCTGCTCGCTGCTGCTGCTGGAACACGTTCTGGGCCCTTGTGTGGTTGTGAAGGGCGGATGGACATTATGGGCCCCTGGAAGCTCTGGTCTAGACGCTGCATCTCAGTGTGCCGTACTCTGTGGCTTCTGGAGTGCCTGTATTCTAACGAATAACAAGTGCCTGCTCTTACTTTTTTTTTTTTTTTTTAAATTTAGTGTGTGTGGGGGGGCGGGGCGGGCTGGGGGCGGGGCGGGCTGGCATGTGGTGCTGGGGGATTGAACCGCGGCCCCTGTGCTTTGCTTAGCTTAGCTTGTTCTAAGTGGGTGCTTTAGACCACTGAGCCATCTCACCAGCCCACTGCTCTTACTAATATGATGTGTTTTGCTTAGTTTTTACACAGTCATTCCAGAAGATGGGGAGGTGTTATCACTTTTTCCCCCTTCAGTACTGAAGATTGACCCCAAGCCTTTCACAGCCTTTCTTTTTGTTTTTTGTTTTACTTTGTTTCAGATTGGGTCTTGGTAGGTCCCTAAATTGCCCAGACTGGGCTAAAATCTTTCACTCCCCTGGTTCAGCCTCCTAGCATGCTGGGGTTGTAGAAGTGTAATCAGGTCTAGGGAGCATCACTTTCTCCTAGTAAGAGGTATGAGGCTCTCAGCAGTTTATTTATTTATTTATTTAAAATATTTATTTATTTACTTATTTATTTAGTGTGTGGCCAGCTCAGCCCACCAGGGGGCGGGCGGGCCAGCATGTGGTGCTGGGGGATTGAACCGAGGTCTCTGTGCTTTGCTTGAGCTTAGCTTGTTCTAAGTAGGTGCTTTAGACCACTGAGCCATCTCACCAGCCCCTCTCAGCAGTTTAAAATAACTACCAGCCAGGCATGGTGCTGCACCCCTATAGGAGGACTGCCTTGCATTCCAGGCCAGTCTGGGGTGCATAGTGAGACATTGTCTTAGACAACAACAAAAATGACAACTACCCCTAAACTATGCAACTTGACTGTGCTCACCCCACATGGACAAACAACCTAGTACAGAGGTTTATACTGGATGGGATGAACCCTAATGTCACTACTTTTGTGACCTTGCAAAAGTTATCTTTCTTTGTGTGTTTCCTGTGACTAATAATAGTACCTAGGTAATAATGATTGTTGTGACAATTAAAACTGAATAGCCAAGGAGGGGGATATGGTGGCCCATGCCTATAATCCCAGCACTTTCTTTCCAGACTGACCCAAGAAGATCATGGTAGGTTCAAGGCCAGCCTGGGGTTCAAAGTGGGTTCAAGGCCAGCCTGATTTGCATAGGAGACTGTCACAAAAAGACAAAAAAAAAAAAGAGGAGGGTTGCTGGCAAATAGCTCAGCAGTCTAAAGCGCCTGCTTAGGCAAGCTTAGGCAGGCACAGGGGACTGTGGCTCAATCCCTGGCACCACATTCAGCGCCAGCCCCATCCTCAGGGTGGGCTGAGCCACCCCCACAAAAAGTTGAAATTGATCAGCTGGGTGTGGTGGCCCATGTTTATAATCCCAGCACATGGGAGGCTGAAGCAGGAGGATCATCACAAGTTTGAGGCCAGCTTGAACTCCAAAGTGAGTTCAAGGTCATCCAGAACTACAAAGACTGTCTCAAAAGATCAAAAACAAAACAAAGAACCCAAAATCATATAAAAATCTCTAGTCCTGGGGCCGGGGAGATGGCTCAGTGGAATAAGCGCTTCCCTGGCAAGCACAAGGGCCTGAGTTCAATTCCCCGTTCCGCAAAAAAAAAAAAAAAAAAAATCTCTAGTGCTGGGGGCCGGGGAGATGGCTTAGCAGAATAAGCACTTCCCTGGCAAGCACAAGGGCTTGTGTTCAAATCCCTGGTTCTGCAAATAAAAAAACAAACAAACAAGTCTAGCGCTTACATTATTAGTATCAATTGTTTTGTTTGTTTGTTTTTGTAGAACCAGGCATTGAACTCAGGCCCTTGCGCTTGCCATGCAAGCACTTATTCTACTGAGCTATCTCCCAGCCCTTCATTTTGTTTTGTTTTTTTTTTCCCTGGCAATGGGAATGGAACCCAAGGCCTCCCATACGCTCACCCAATGTTCTCACTGAGTGACATCCAGCCCCCCTTCTTGGTGTTTTGTTTCTTTTTTTTTTTAATTTATTTTTATTTATTACATTTATTTATTGTGTGTGTCTGTGTGTGTGTGTGTGTGTGGCCAGCTCAGCCCACCAGGGGGCGGGGCTGGCTGGCATGTGGTGCTGGAGGATCGAACAGAGGTCCCTGTGCTTTGCCAAGCTTGTTTCAAGTAGGTGCTTTAGACCACTGAGCCATCTCTCCAGCCCCTTTTTTTTTTTAATTTATTTTTATTTAGTGTTTTGTTTCTTAAGACAGGGTCTCACTATGTAGTTCAAGTTGGCCTGAAACTTCTGGACATCCTCTTGCCTCAGCCTCCACAGTGCTGGGATTACAAGACTATACCACCATGCCCAGCCCCATGACCATTTTACTTTGACACATGGTCTTGCTAAATTGCCCAGATTGGCCTCTAACTCTCCATTCTCTTTCCTCTAGTTTCCCTACCTGCTAGGATTACAGGCATATGGCCGTAATTTTCCAACTCGACCTCCTCACAAACATTTAAAATCAGTGAGCATTAAGTGGGTGTGGTAGCACAGTCCTGTAATCCCAGCATGCCCTAGCACACATGTTTCTCAAATTTCCCCGAGGGAAGGATCGGGAGGATGGAGAAATAAAGGTAAGAAACAGAAGGGGCTGGGGAGATGGCTCAGTAGAATAAGCATTTCCTCGGCAAGCGCAAGGGCTTGAGTTCAATCCTTGGTACTGCAAATAAATAAATAAATAAATAAAATAGTGCTCTAAGCCAAGTCCTTTGTGGTATTCCCAACAAATTTACAACCATTAAAGCACTCCCTAATGCAAATCCACAAAGGCAGAGTAAATACAGGGATAAGGGATACAACAAATATTTCTATGTACATTTGTAAAGGAATTGCTCAACCACCGTAGTGTGTTTATATATTTGGCAGGAAGATGCCACATGACACCCTTTTGGCCTTGCAACCCATTGCTTGCACTGTCTCGGGGCTTGCATCGACTGAAGCAAGAGAACGCCAAGCCGCGAGCTTCTTCAAGGGGCTTGCCTGTGCTGCGCTGTGTTCTCAGACTGGGCTCGCCTCGCCCTCCACGTGTGATCAAGTTCCAGCTTCAGCCTCTCCCTACAACAGCACTTTGGGTGGAGTAGGAGGGCTGCAAATTCCAGCCTGCCCTGGAGCATTTGTGATTTAAGGAGACCCTGTCTCAAAATAAAAAATAAAAAGTGCCGGAGAGGAACAGCTCACCTGGGTTTAATCCCAATCTTGGGGGTGGGAGGGGAGCAAACCTAGGAGTCTTTTTTTGTTTGTTTGTTTAAGGTATTTGGTGGTTGCACAGCCTCACTCCGCAGCTGACCCGTGGTGACGCCCCGTCCGGTGCGCCGGGGATGCTGGGGCTGGAACCCCGGTCCCTGTGCTTGCCTAAGCAGGTGCTTCGTCTGCTGAGCTATCTCGCTGGCTCTCCACATCGCTATTTCTTCAAGCTAGCTGATATACTCACCTTTAACTTTCATTTTTATGGGTACATGTGTGGAGTACGCAGTGAGTGTATTGTGGTGCACCGACGTCACACATCTTATTCCACCTTACGTCTCCTCCCCACCCGCCCCCTTATTTATTTGCTTACTGACGTCTGAATACATGGTGAGCTGGCCCTATCAAATCCTTTTCCTCTCGCCGTCCCCAAAATCTGAGGAGGGCGTGGAAGCGAGGGCCCCCGAAGCAACGGCGCCGGGACTCCCTCCCGAACAGCGGCGCCTCTTCTGCGCGCGCAGCTCCGCGTTGCGGGCCGCGGAGCTTTCTGTCCTCCGGCGGTACCCGTCTGCGCCCTCCCCACGTGACCCAAACAGACCCGGCGTTTCCGCTTCCGGTCGCCTTCCAGTGCGGCGGCGTCCCGGTGAGCGAGTGCGCCCCGGGGCTGGGTGGGCGGCGACCCCAGCTGACCCTCGCGCGGTCCTTCTCGCCCCCAGGTCCGCGCGGCGGCGCCATGGCGGAGCTGACGGCGCTGGAGAGTCTCATCGAGATGGGATTTGCCCGGGGACGCGCGTAAGGGAGCCCGGCCCCGCCCGCCCGCCC